TTTCTTCTGGAAACATCATCTTGCTAACCTAAGACGGAACAGCCTGCAGAATCCGCATCATTAAAAACCCTCCCTGTCAGCAGATGACTAGATTAAAATTACAGCTTTGGAGGAAAATTTGTGTTCCCGCTTACAAGCGAGTTGTGACGTCTCTGTGAGGCCAAGCGGCGTGTGGGCTTCTGACAGCGGGAAGCGCTTTTTGTGGCTCGGAGGTGTGGCTTCCTAGCCAGGCTTCCAGGCTCATCCCGGCTCAGTGAGTCAATCGCTTTAAACACGGCTCCCGATTTAGTGCTAGGTCGAACTGCATCTGGCACTGCTGTAGCAGTACTTACCTATAAAAATAGAAGGGCCTAATTTGCTAGCAATGTTGGATGTGGGAGTGAAGGGAGCAAAACGTCCTTGGAATTGCAAGAATTTTTTGAGAAGTCGGTTCTTGGAGGACTAGAAATTGGTCGTGACTAATAGTGGGGATGATGCAACGCGTTCCCTATTTCGTGACCTTTTTGTGTCCACGGAAAATGGGATCTTCAGTGTGGCATTTCTGAGGGTTTCTCTGTCCCCTTTCACTTATGCATTAATATGATGTTTTGAAACTGAAGGAGAGGTCAGAGACTCGTAACAGGGAAAGGCAGGTGCTGCCTATTAGCTCGGAGCATTTTAAAATCCCGGGAGAAACTGCTCACGGATATAGCTAATTCTATTATGGCATGTAGGTGAAAATAAAATGTCATACTTGATCAAGACATCTACTATTGTGTGTTGTTGGCCACCAGACAGAACTCTTTAAAGTTACTTTTTTCACTGCATGCTCAAGGAGTTGAGGTAATAGATCTGGAACGAGAAGACTTTCTAAATCTGTCATGTGTAACAGATTGACATAATAGGAAAAAAATTTATTTATTTATTTATTTAAAGATGCCTTCAGCGCAGTGTTGGGAATCATAACGTAGGATAGCAGGGATAAAGCGCTGCTGTGGTCAGGGTTTAGGGAGGAAGCAGGATTACTTAGTAAGGTAACTGTTTGAAGGGGTAGTTAACTGATGGTGCTAAGGCATAAATAAATGAGGATTTCTTTGGTTAACTAATAGGAGAGCTTCTGAACTAATAAGGTAGTTGAAATAACGTTTGCAGCAACATTTACCACTAGACTTCACAAGAGCAAACGTGTCTTATAAGGGTTTTGGCTTAGAGAAGCTGTATTAGGTTGTTGAGTCACTGAACTTTTCTTTCCATCAAGGAGTGTATGTGACCGTGCATGCGGGTAACTGGCTTCACATATGGTGAACTGCATAAATGCATGGAATTCTGATAATTTATTGCCAAAACGGCAGATATTTCCATAGCACGCGACGACTAGCAGCCTGCATTTATCCTAATTACTTTTCCTTTTGGATGCCTGCCTGCCTTTCGTGTGAGACCATTTCCTGCTGTCTAGGATGGCTGTGCTGAATTTGAGAAGTAGCGATCAGAAAGGTAGCGGAGGCAAATATGGAACGGCTTATTTAGAATAGTTGATGAGACAAAATCATTGTGTATTCTGTTGTTGCCGCTTTTGCCAGCTTATCGGAAGAAACCCCTTGTTTCTGGGGAGGGGGTAGCAGGGATTAAGTGATACCTAATGATTTTCCAGCGTGTTGTGCATTCTCTGCTTCCTTGACCATAGAAGATCTCTGCTGGGTATTCCACAGATCTGCAATGACTTGGTTTGTTGTCTGGCAAGCTCACGATCTGGGGTGGATAGGGTGTGAATTCCTACCCAGAGTTTCCTCGGAGTGAACTATTCTATTTAGGGAGTTCCTTCACCATGCTTTCCTTGTGCCTTGTTCTCCAACCCTCACCCCTTCTGTTGGCTTACCCTTTTTGCTAAAATCCAAACAGTTTCTTGGTGTAGTTATTTCATAACCTTTTTCCGGTTACTGCTTTGTATGTTTCTATACCATCTTCTCCTCCCGAACAAAGATTTTCTGCTGAAGCTGTAAGTGGGGCGCTGCCCTTGGCGATCTGAATCCTCTTGGTAAGTGCTCCCTCTGTCTGGACAGAGCTTTCCTCATCACGCTCAGGGAGCTCCACGCACCCAGCAGCAGTCTCTATAATGAGGTTGTAGGTCTTGCCTCGGACGACTGCACCAGACCAGTTACAGCAGTTAAGCTTTTCAGTCTTCGTCACTGTATGAAAATGACAGTATTGCGAAAGAGAAGCTGATGTATGGTAGGTTTTGAAACAGGGTGAAAGGAGGACTTAAGTTTTAGGAATTGGGGATTCTGTGTAAGCGGCGGGGGGGTGGGGGGGGAGGAATCGCTTATTTTCCTTTCTCGTTTGTGACGAATGAATGACCTGAGCTTTGGAGTGGTGGCAAGTCTGTGGAAACCCTTGGTTTGTTTTTCGTGAAGGTATTAGGAGTTGGTTTCCCTCATTGTCTAGTTACGATGGAGCGCGAACAAAATCTTGTGAGCAAGTTGGGAAGTGCTGTGCTTGTGTTTAGAATGTGTTGGTTTTCTTCTGCTTACGCTGACAGGCATAGAAAGATAAGGATACCAGTCTCTCTTGCTCTTCAGTTGTTGTGAATATTACCTTACGTCAGCCCTGTCCATGCAGCCATACACCAAAGCAATTGCCAGATGTTTTAAGTTGTGATTTTACCGCCTGTGTTGGCCTAGTGGCTATAAAGCGGATATGTTACTGAAGAGAAAAACTTGAGTCGTCAAGTAGTCAGTTAAAAGATTTGGGGTTTTGTTTGTGCTTTTTTTTGGTTTGTTGTTTTGGTTTTTAGTTGCTTTTTCTTCAGAGTTGGTTTGAACTTGGCCTGGCAACAAATGCAGGTGGCTGGAGGGGTGGGAGGTGACGGGAACTCCCTGAGCCGCAAAAGCTTCTCGCTCCCACTGGGAGGCAATTATTTTATTTAAGATTTGAATCTGGTATCCTTGCTTAGGGTGAAATGCAAATGACTGGGTGCATGTTAGAAGTGTCCTGTAACAGAATGTATGGAAGCCATATGTTACCTCTTACTGCTTCTGGCTCTTGGTTGCGTTTGGTAGCTGACTGCCTTAGTATTGTTCTGGTGTCTGCGTGAACGGCCGTGGCCTATTGAGGTGTATCATCCCGCTATCCCTGTATAGTCCAGCCGAGTGCTTCTTTACGAGGGTTAGAAAACAGGATCACTCCGGAGGCCGACGGGAGGGGGAGGATGCTGCTGCTCCTTTGTAGCAAGGGGGAGTCAGAGTAGGACCGGGACCATGTAAATGTCTAACCAGCCGGACTTGTGGGATCTGTTCAATACGCAAAGATGCGCCTGCAAGGATGTTGTTACCCGCTCAAAAGAATTTGGGGAACTCGTTATTTATCTCCAGTTTCAGGACGTTTTCTTCATCCGTTGCTCTTGTTCGGGTCTAAACTGAGACTTAATGTAACTGTTAGGCAGTTTTGTCACATGCTTGGCAAACGACGCGTTCTTGATCACCTGTCATGATGTGTTTTGGAAAGAACAATTTTTGTTGCGTTGTTAGGTGCCCATTGTGTCTCTGCTAGAGCTGTTGGCATTCAGGATTGTAGAGATGAGTCATCTTCGTTAATTTTCTGTTGATGGCTGTAGTGTGGTGTGGTGGGGAAAATGAGGCACAGCATTAAGTTTCTTAGAGTGTTTTTGTGTGACAGCGTAGCTATGCTAGCATTGCCCCAAAGATTAGCTACAACCCTTGTGTGTTCAAACACGCAGTTTATATATTTAGTGAGCTGGGGAGAACCCTTATGCCCCACTAACAAAAAACTCTGTTTGGTCCTGTAGGGCGATGGTGAAAAATTGGCAAAGTCTTTTATATAAAGAAATGAGAACTGGATAATATTTGTAATGAAAATTCTGCTGTCTGGGTTTCACACCTTTCCACTTTCTTTCATTGGAATGCAGAGCTCAGTTTTCTTTTCTGACAGAAATCTTTTCTCAGCTCATACACTAAAACATGCACAAATACTGGTTCATTTGACGCTTTTCCTGCAAATATTTAATTTACCTGTCATGTTTCTGCCATGTTAGGGGTTAATGTGCCATCCAGGCGCGCTGCCATCTTCTAAAATTCAAATGTCTGAACTTTTTTTCTAAGTCAGTCCATGTTTTTCAAACAAAATTATAGGTAAGAAAATTATCTATATGGAAGTTGTAAAAGTTGTCATCCTTATTTCTTGCCTAACTGGTGGACTGAAAGGTCTGTGAAACCGGGGGGGGAAATGACATAGAAAGTTTGTGGAAAATGTGGAATGGTATCAGTCTTCAGCTAAAGTGTTGGTGTATTTCTGAGCAACTGTATTTTAAAAACTAAGTTGCTAAACCATGCCAGATACTGGAAAAGTTATTTTATGTTGGTAGCTAAGAGGATATTCTGAATCAGCTAGGCCTGCAGCAAGTACGCTTTCCTTAATCACAGTAGCTTGTTTTTGAGGAATTAATAGTAACTACTTAACACATCATACCTGATGTGAAAAGACAGGGGTCTGAACAGGCTGTCCCTACCTTCTCGTTACACTTACGCAGGTGTGATGGCATTTCATGTCTCATGAAGGTGGGTGTTAGAAAAAGAACATGGGTTTTTCTGTTAAATAAATAGTATCTTTAATTACCATGACAAGCTTCATGATTGTTCAGAGTAAAGAAGGTTTCTATGTGGCTGGGCTGCTGTCCTTGATATGTGGCTGTCCACGTTCTGGGGAAGGACATCTTTTTGCTCTCGTCTTGCCCATGATCCAGTTTGCTGAGAGAGGGAAGGGAGTCTGAGCGTTCCCGGTTGTCCGGCTGGCTTAACAGTAGGGTGAGCAGATGAGAAGGAGGGTAGTGGAGAACCATTTAATTGTTTAAAACAACAAGTCAAAGCGCCTGTTACTTTTGCATCCCAGTTTTTGTTAAATATCCTTTTTCAACATGGAAATATGGGAGCGGGGAAAGTATTTAATGTTAATCTTGTGCTTATGTGTGACTCGTCCGCTCCTTTCTTTTTCCCTTCTCTTCCCACAAGTTCTCTAAATGTTTCCTCTCCCTTTCGCAGTGGTAGTCGCTCTTCCAAAACCTTCAAACCAAAGAAGAATATTCCAGAGGGGTCTCACCAGTACGAGCTGCTAAAACATGCCGAAGCCACACTTGGAAGCGGTAATCTCCGGATGGCTGTTATGCTTCCAGAGGGCGAAGACTTAAATGAGTGGGTTGCAGTTAACAGTAAGTCGGCTAACCTTTTTTGTAAGGGAGGTGTTGAATGTGGTCTGACACTTGTGGGAGGACAGCTGTGTACTCCTTTCTAGAGGGGTAGGCTCTTCTGTCCTGCATGCACCACTCTGCTGCGGTTGGGAGAGGTGAATGTAGTATCATTTAGAGCTGACAGATGCAGAGCGTCTCACCGAGACAAAAACTCCTTAATCTCCTTGTGCCAAAAGATATGTTCCTGTTAACAAAATAATTCTTGTTGTTAGTGGTTAAAGTCTGAGCACTTGATCACAAACAAGTGCTGAAGTAGAAATGTCACTGTTGTTTTAAGAAAGTAGCCTGTCAGTGCCATCTTAATATGTTTCATGTAGCTCTTCTTCAGCTAGAGTTGTTACCCAGTGGTGTAGTCAAGCCTCTACAGGCTAAGCATAAAACCTTAATTTAGTTAAGTGTGAGGGCCAGGTCTAGAAGATGCTAAAGGCTACGGTCACGTATATGGCCTGGCTTTCCTTTTGCCTGTAACAAACCCAGAGATGGATCTTTGCAATTTTCCGAAAGTTAGTTCCTTCCTTTTGTTTCTACCAAGTTGTGAGCCTTTGCTCTGGTAAGTCTCTGATGTCATTATTTTAACTTCCTCTAAAGCTGTTAGTCCTAACTCTCTCCTTTCATGCTAGGTCAGGCCAAACAATGATGCACAAATTAGTGTTTTCTGATTGCTTGACCATGTTTCCTCCTCCTTCCTCTCCCTGCTGTATGAATTTGCTGCCTCCCTTCTGCTCTTAAAGAATGGATTAACCCAAGTCCTGTCGTGCTCCGTAGCCCGTGCGGAGTTTCGGCTGCCACAAACTCTGTGCCCTGTCTGGGTGTTTCCTCATCTTTGGTGTCTTTCGGCTTGGCGTGCTTCCGTGATAGTACAGTATTGATGTGCACACATGGCACAGTCTCTGCGGCGCGGTATAAATTATGCTCAAGATAAATGTCTTGTAATTGTTTATGTGGTTCTGTCCATTTCTTCCTGCTCTTTGACATGTTTGGGAAGTGAAACTGTCATAGTGACTTCAACCTTCTGGTTCTTAATTAGCCACACAGTGCTCTGGTATATGACTTGCCACTGCTTCCAGGGAACGTTGAAATTGCTGACACCATTCTTGATGAAAGTTTATTCACACTGTATTGCAAAACTGTCTAGAAAAAAAGCCAGCCCATGTTTATGAGTAAGCATTACTAAAGATGCTTTATATATTGCTGGCATCCTTCCCTTCTGGTGGTTCCTCCACTCCATGTCTCTTCTTTCCTGTGCGACAGCGGTGTTTTTCCCTTCCCAAATGACTTAACTGCTAAATTAGCTGGGTGGCAAAAGGCAGCGAAGCACTTGACAAAAGAGTGGGAGCTGCCTTTTGTCAACAGCTGCATTCTGTAATGAAATGGTCCTCTCCCATGCCTCCTGCAGCGAAGTGGGGTTTTAATGTTTTAATTTTTTTGTCTAGAAGTGATTAACTGATTACGTGCTCCCTTCATTTACAGCATCCCTCTACCACACCTAGTACCAGTTAATGGTAGCTGTGAGCCCCTTCTGTTGACGTGTGATTTTGTCATGGGTTTTGCCCTTCACAATAGTGAGAGCACAGGAACAAAAGTCCTCTGCTCTTCGACTACCTGCTCGACTCTTAGCCTTACTGATGTCTCGTGGTAATGAGTTGATGTACATGTAGATTTTTCAAATACGTTCTGAAAATAAAAAAAGGTGAGAAGTGTATGATCAGTTTGTTTGAGTTTCATTTGAAATCTCCTTGATTTGAAAATACTAAAAAATAATTTCAGAGGTAGATCTTGCCCATATCTTTGTAATAGAACACCGACGGTGTGTACTTCTTTGAGTAGAAAAGCACTTGGAAAAAATCGCCTAAGCCCTCGAAACTTAAGAACAATGAGTAAAAAGAGGAAATGAAAAAATGCAGAGATGCTGTACAGCTCTGCACATGTCGGAAAGGAGGTTCTTGTGTTTTTCTTGTTTGTCACACGCTGCTGGCTTTGGTGGATGGGTGGTGTGTCCCACGGCCTTTTGAGACTTGCAAGTGCGGGATTCACAATAGTCGCTCATCTTGTCGAAGTCTGTGGGGGTTTTCTGAACATGCTTGCCTCGAAGCAGACATGGGACTGTGGTTTGCACTGGGAGCAGGGAATGGAAACTTAATTAACAGTTCTTGTGTACACTTAAGAAACAAGGGCTATTATAACCGCTTCTTGCTGCCTTTGGTGTTAACTGCCTCCTCCCCCGGCCCAAGCAAGCTTTGGGAGTCCTCCTGGTCCTCTGGAACTTTTTTAACAACCTTTCCCAATGTTGCTTTGGTGTTTTCCGCTTTTGCTGTGCGGGGAGAAGATTTTGTTGCTGGAGATGAGCTGTGCTAGGTGCGTGCCGTACCAGTTTTGATTTGCTTCCCTTTTTTGATACCTGGGAAGTTGCATGACACAGTTGTAGCTTGTATCCTGCATCTGCTGAACAGTAGCTGTAACTCGCTGCCATGATGTTCGTGTGGTCTTTGATGTTTATTCTCTGGTAAAATCAGTGAGGGGCGCTGCAGTATTTAACCCTCCCTTTCCTTCAGCCATCAGTTACTTTCACAGTATGTGGTCTCTGCTAGTGCTTATGTTTAGGATGTCAATCTCCATTTCATTACAGCGAAACTCTGTATCTCTGTAACAGAGTTAAGCGAGGAACACCAAGTGATATGCTGGCTTCTCTTTCGCATGGCACCGGATTAAGAGGAGTGTGGTGTTGGTGTTAATTCTACAGTGTCCTGCAGATTGGTTGTATTCTTTGGTGTAAACTTGCCAACTAGAGAGAGCTGTTACTCATTAGATGACACATAGTACATCTTCAAAAGCAATAACAATAAAGTTTTTTCACAAAAAATATTCCAGGACCCTCTTCAGCATCGTGCGCTTTACAGGTAAGGCTATAGGAAGCCTGTGTTGCCGTTACGCTGCAGAGTGTTAATTGATGGTTTAAATGTTTTACAGCTGTCGACTTCTTCAACCAGATCAATATGCTTTATGGAACCATTACGGACTTCTGCACAGAGGAGAGCTGCCCTGTGATGTCTGCTGGCCCAAAGTAAGATTATTTTTTACACATTGTTGAGAGTGTGCAATTTTTGAGATGATTTTGCATTTGAAAACTTGAGACTAGCTCAGTTGGGTGCCAAAGATAAGGTAACTTCTGTGGGTGGAAAGGATGTCTTCTCTTGTTACCTGTGGAGGGAAAAAAAATTTCAACCTTTGTTAAGGGAGTGGGGAATGGAAAGGTGGGTTTTCGGGGTGTGGTTTTGTTTGTTTGTGGGGTTTTGTTTGTTTTTTTTCCTTCTTCTTTAGCCAGGGAAGTTAAACTGATTATCAAAACTATTTTTTTCCTTTTTTTTTTCCTGAAATGTTAACGAGGGCTTCTTTAAGATTTGAAGTTTTGGTATGCAAGCGTTCAATTAGGGCTTACCAAAATCTTTCTTTTAGGTGTTTGACTAGGTATTGTAGAAATAAGCTTGGCTCCAGTTTTTAGTAGTCGGTATAAGAATCCCCTACCCTGTCTCTCAGTTAAGTTTCACTTCTTGGGTTCTTGCTTATGCTTTTGTACAGACATCCAACGTTTGTGGTTTTTCTTGCTTTCCAGCTGCTTAGTGTCTTCCAAAGAGGAAAATACCTGTCAGGGAGGGCACTGCCTCCTTTTAAATTACTGTAAAATCTTAAATAAATCAATTTCTAACAGTCCTCTCCTCCACTTCCTCCTCCTTTATGACAATTGTTGTTGTTGTCAGAAGCCAGTAGTTGCCAGCCTGTGCGGTGGAGAGCTGAGGACGTGCAAAAGGGTGCTGCTGGGAGGGCAAGGCAGAGAGGGCAGGAGCTCTGCGAGGCGAAAGCAGCCAGACGGACCAAGAAAAGATTTGGCACTAGGTTCTTAAACTAAAAATGGATGCTGCTGAATGCCAGAACCAGTGTGGCCAGGCAGACCTGCCGCTGCACAGCGGGGAGGGGTGAAAATACAAAAGGAATAGAAGTTTACCAGTATGCAAAAGAACTTTGGGATAAGCTTGTGCAATAACATAGCCCATTGTCTGCTTTGTGCTTTGGCATGCAGAACAGACTCTTGTTTATTAAATAAGAGCATGAAAATATTTTTGCTTTATTGTTTGTCTGCTGAGAAGCAGGAGATGCATTCTGCCAAGGTTTTCATTAGGTGATCTTGTCCCTAGGATTTGTAGAGCGTTCCCCAAACCCTGCGGTCCCCACCTGTGCTCAGGGATGGGTTTTGTGAAAGGATCAGAAGCGTGTGTGCACGTGAGGGGCCGAGGCCAGGCAGGCAGGGGAGGGGGTGATTTGTGAAGCTGGTGATCAGCAGCGCAGCATATACAGTGTTTTTTAGTTTGAGTGGGTGTGGCTTTCTTTCACTTCAAAGGTGGTCTGCAAAGTTCTTTTCAGGGAAGTACTGCTGGAAAACCTGTCAGTGTGAAAGCACTGACATTTACGGATTTTTTTTGTTTCTTACCTCTGTTTCCTGTTCTCTTTTGGCTCAAGCTCGTATTGGTTGAAGAGGCATTGAGTCTTAGGTGCTCGTTGGTGCTTCTAGGCTGAAGGTTGCTGTCTGCTCACATCCGTGGCTGAGCTACCGCCAGTATTGCATCCTCATCTCTTTCAGACAGAAGAGTATGAGTTAGCTGAAACAACTTACGTAAGGTCATTTGAAACAGGTTAGGCAGCCGTAGCATGACTAGCTGGAGAGAACCAAAAGCAGCAAGCACTCTACGGCTTGAAAGTCTGATTTTTGCATGCCCACTGGAGAAGTGCTTATGGTCGATACATTAAAGAAGGGTTGTAAGGTGCTGGTGCATACGTAGGTAGCTGTTTAGAACTGATCATGGCTCAGTCACAATTTTTATAGCATAACTGACAAACTTGTAGCAGTCTGTGGAAAAATTAAATCAGACCTCTTAAGTGAGAGGGTAACCAGAGCAGAAGCATGATGTTTCCTGTGTCCACTGCCTGGTACTGGTGTTTTGTAACCCTTTAAAGCCCTTCTAAAAGAAAAAATAAAACAAGACCCTTGGCAAAGACTGGCCACCTAGGTTCGTGTCTGTTTTTTTGTGTTTTATTTTTGATACACGGAGGGTTATCTTCGCTAAAGGGCTACCTTTAAGCAAATGCTTGAGGCTGTACGGCTACTTCTCCGGCCCGCTGGTTCTTTTTGATAGTGATCTTAACAGAAGGGCTTAGCTGAGGCAGCTAAACTTTGTGTGCTGTGGGATCACTTTCATTTCTTCTGGACTTGTCTTTGTTGGAAGGATTGCTGACTTAGCTTTTATCAGGGTGTTAGTGCATTGTGTAAGTTAAGGATTGACGTAAAGATCAAGAACAGATCTCCCTCTCCTGCTGTACAGCTCATGGTCTAACAATTTGAAAAAAGTACTGGTTTAATTTGTTCCAAAACATACGATTACTCAAGGTAGTGTTCCATTCCTTTCACTTCAGCGAAGACCAACCGTTTCTTACCCAAGCAAACCCTAGTTGGTTGTCACTTCTTGCTATTTTTATATCACCATCAGTGCAACGGGCATGATAATTAGTTAAGAACCTGCATAGAAGTAATATGTTTGTTAACCGGCACTGGGTGAGGGGAATTTTCTTTATTTTCCTCCCTGGTTTTAAGTCTTCAATAAGAACACGAAGGAGGGAGATGGCTGCTGCGTTCTTCAAAGCTGGATGTCTGAACTGGGGCTCTAAAATCCATGTTTTAGGCACATGTGTGTGAGTGCACTAAGCTCACTCCTAATGGCGGCGATATCCTTCTGATTTTCCTGAGGTTTGTTGGTCCACGGTGCTTCTGTCTTCATATGTTCAAATCAGAATAGCTGGGCGCTCCGAAGCGGACAGCTCCCGTAAATCCTTCGTGGCTGTGATACGGTGTAATTGAATGCTTACATGCTGCCTTCTGCCCCGTGTTTCTGCAGCAAAAAAAGGAATAAAACATGTAATCAGGTCCTTAAAATACCCTGTGTCTCTTAGCAATATCAATCCTTTTGCCTTTTTGTGACGTTCCACTCTGCACCTGTATCACTTGATCACTGAGGGACAAAACAGAGTAAGTATTTTTTAACAGTCTCGATGTAGTACGGTTTTGCTGAGGTGTAGACATGATAGGTCCAAATAAATGTGCGAGAATCTTCTAAAAGGCATTACTGAGCCACTGCATTTTATTGCTGTTGGACAAGGTAACAGCTTTAATTTTAGTCCAGCTGGGGTTTTTTGTTTGTTTGTTTGGGCTTTGTTTTTGTGGGTGGTTTTTTTTTTTAGGCCACGTACATGTAATGGCACAGTAGAGGAGCTGGTCCTATGGTTGTTTGTGCTTAGGGATATTTTCTAGTGTGAGAAGCATAGTTGGGTTTTCTGTTTATAGATCGCAAATAACCTGTGTTTTTCAGTATGAGAGAATTCTACCAGAGTCGTTAGGGATTCTTAGCTTTTCCCCTGCGCTTGCTGAGGTGAACTGTATACTTGTTGCTCTATCCTTCACATATTGGTTTGCTCTTACAAACCTCTACTAAACTGTAGAGGTTTCTAAAAATGTATTTTATGTAGAGGAACTGCCTATGACGATAAGGTTAATCTGTTTCTATCACCAGAGCTGTAGGTGTTTGCTCACAAGCTTGAGCTAGAAATGTGGTTTTACCCTTTATTTCCTGTGGCAGTTCAAATGTTTCTAATACGTGGGAATTCTTTGTGTGTGTTAGGCTTTCTTTTCTGTTTAAGAAGTTGGGCTAGGATTCTTGATTTCTTTTCAGTCATGTAATTAATCTTGTAGGAAGAGTTCGTGTTCCCCTCCCTTGTGAACCCCAAGCCTAGGAACAACCGTGAACATCATGCCTACTGCGTGGAGAATGGGGTGTTTGCCGGAATACTTTTCAGATTCTCTGTATGACTTCATTTTTGTCAGGACATACCTGCTGTTTCTTAAGAGCTGTGTTACTTAACGGGTCATTTGATGGCATTCCTTCCTCTACAAAATGCAGAATTAACCCATAGTGTTGGGGGGTGGGGAGGGAGAGAGGCTTCTTATGGTGGATATAGGTTATTTGGGAGAGATTTTTAGCACGGAATTTAGTTTACTGTCTTACTCTGTCTCCAGACTGAACCTGGCACCTCAGCTAAGTGCTGATACTTGTCCTATGTTAATACCACTGAAATCTCAGTATTAGGGTAATACGGGGCGGTGAGGAACATTGATTTTTCAGAAATCCAGACATGTGGTCCATTCAGCGTGTATGGAATTTTTGCATGTGTTTTGAGATAGAATTTTAAAATGCTTTCAGACCCTCTGATTTGTTGCCGTTATAAAAATGGGATCTTTTTATACCATTGGGAGCAGCACGCTTGTAAAATTTGTTTATTGTGAAAATGTTCTCCCAGTTACTGTTCTGACAAAACTGAATTTGTTAAACAAAATTAGAAGCCAGATTTATCAGATACAGTTAAGCTTTGCATAAAATGACGTGTACGATCTTTAAAATAGAAGACCTTCTCCAGTGTCCGCACAATACTAATTGGAGATAGCAGGGGGAAGTGTGAACAGCGGTGGTTGCAGCCCAAACTTTGTGGTGTGCTGCAACTGTACTAAGAAATAGCAATCAAAGTGAGCTCGCTATCCTCCACAAAAAGAAGTGGTATTAACCATTAATAACACCTCTTCTAATTCTTTTAATAAGAACTGAGATAAAAGTTGTAGACGAAACGGGTATGTTTCCTGTAAAAGCATGACTGAGCTGACAGCACTATCCTTGTATGTTTTGTTTTGTTAGTTTGTTTTAATTTTATATTTTTAAAAGAGGAGTGTTGCAGCTGGTCTGAATCATTGTTCATTGGTTTCTCTGGGAGGATTTCAGAGCTGCAGAGCTCAGCAGTGCTTTTCGCTTCTGGCTTGGCAGCAGGCTTGCCCCACGGCTAGCCGTTCTGCAGCAGTGCTGCTTGGCTGAGCAAGGCTGGCTGATTTAAAACCGACGTGGGAGATGATCCTGTGTTCGGATGTAAAAGAGAGGGCTATGCACGGCTCTGTGGTGATGAGGAGAAACGGCTCAGACGTTATGGGTTGGCAAGGAATATTAAGATACGTGCATTTGTACTCAGCGAGACATAGGAAGAAACACTGTGGTTCACTTGAAAGCTGGTATTGTCAGACTTCCAGTGTTAAATGTGTTTGGTATTTTTTTTAAGCTATATGTTCCCAAGATTAGCCGTCTTCTCTGGAAGATGAGAAGTCTGGACTTGTGTCAATTGTGTTGCCCAAGCCAGTCAAAATATCTGTCCCATTCTAACTTCATGAGGACTTGTTTCTGCCTGGTTGTGCATGTAAATGGATGCTCTTTAATACTTTTTTCCATGGCTTTTTAAATTCCTGAAGTTAAAATGGTAACTGTAAAATGAATGATGCTGGAATCCACTCATTAAATGTGCCACTTAAAAGATGTCAACATGACTAGCTCTGTGAAGAGAAAAGGATAAAAGCAGCACACATTTTACTGTTCCGTAGTCATGTCCGTGGTTTATAACGGCGTGGTATCACCTTATCTACAGATGGAAAAATTAAGCTAAAAGACTGTTACTGGCCTGCAGCTATCAAGTGGGTCACCAGTATAACTGGAAACCAAGATTTTTCTTAATCTTGGTGCGCTGCATGTTAGCACTAGACCTTCAGATATGAACCTTTTCTAAGGAGTACTATTTAGTCTAGAAGCTTTCCTGTAACTGTTAGCTGGCAGGCGCTTAATACCAGCTTCCAGTTTTGTAATCGTATTCTGTGGCGTTAACCTACCTCCGAATCTATTCCGTGTCTCTAATACAATCATATTTGGGATCTCTGGCAAGAGCCCATGTGGTTTGGTCTTCAGTTATGCAAAATCTATAAGAATATTTTCAAATGTAAAGTAATTCTATAAATTTTAGGGGTCTAATGTCTCTGGCTGGCAGGTGCTGCACATGTTGAGCATTGCCACTCGCTTTGCAGTTCTTCTCTACCGGTGGAGGTGATGGGAAGCCCATTGCTAGGGCTGACTGGGTGAAACTTCACATTAGAAATCAGTCGGGTGCCTTCATCGATTTGAGCCCTGGAGCTTAGCTTTTATTACCGCGAGGATCTCTTGTAACTTTTTGATGTTTCACTTGAACAGGCTGTAACGTTTTTCTTTTTTGGTGTGTGTGTGTGGAAGCTTTAAGAAAGAATAAGTAGCAGTTGGCCTTTCAGGGTTTGGAAACCTACTCCTGCAGCACCTTTTGATGTGCAGGGATGCAGGTTTGACCGTAGGCTGCCACGTGCATTTTGGCAGGAGCGTTGCAGCCGAGGATGAATGAGTTGTGCTGTAAAGGATGAAGTTCTTGAAGGCCTTCACAGACTGCAGAAGAGAGTCCAGCTGAAGCAGGATTGCAGTGGGGAGATTGGGTACAGAGCAGCCGCAGATGTCTCGGGAACATTTGGACCTTAGTTTCAAGGAAGGGCTGTGGGAGGGTGTGGGAGTACGGGGAGCGGAGCAGGAAGAGCAACCTTCTAGGCCTTGATACGAATGATTCACTTGTGTTAAGAAATGTCTTGTTGTTGTCGTCCCAACCCAGGTATGAGTACCACTGGGCAGATGGGACAAACATAAAGAAACCAATTAAGTGCTCTGCACCAAAGTACATTGATTACCTGATGACTTGGGTCCAGGATCAGCTGGATGATGAAACGCTATTTCCTTCTAAAATAGGTAAAGTAAATAAGTAAAACTGAACAATGTATTTGGGTTACAGTTGTACAGGAATATTTAAGTCTTACAGCATTAAAAAGTCTCCTAAATGACTGATGAGTAGGGCAACTCTAAAAGGTTACATTACATATATAAAGGCACTTTTATCTCTTAAGATAAAATTTATGTGGTAGTACGTGAACTCTGATCCATGTGTCAATATTCCTAATGAACATCTATCACAATTCTGAATGCTGGAAGTACTGTTTCTATTTAATAACTGACTGTGTTGAGCAAATCTGATGTTTTTTCGTTTTGAACAGTGGGTTGTTTCCTTAGAAATAAGGCAGAGGGTCTCGAAACCTTGTAACCAGTAGTTGGTACAAACTGGCAGCTTTTTGGTGCGGGAAAGGTGTTTGGTCCTCGTGAGGAACGTCTCTGAGGCCTTACCTCCAAAGAAGCTGAATTGCATCTTTGATCTCAAGTTAATAATTTTTTTTCTTTTCAAGTGAAGATGAAAGATGTATGTTTTTAAGAAGTTTCTTTCAGAAAAACGGGAGGAAAACAATGAACAGCCACCAGTTCGGAAACGATAACAAGAAGAAAACCCTGCTTCTAGAAGCACGAAGCTTGTTCGAAAGCTCCTAACTGGCACTTTTCCAGTACACCACTACTCATAGGCTCATGATCCATTGTGGAAAAAGGGAGAGAGATCTCTTAATTGCTTTTATTTTGTCAATAGTTTCTGAAGCATTTGACACATTCTCAATAAGCCTCTTCAGAGAAACAGGGCCACCTGGCAGAATCGGTGGCGTTTGTTTTTACTTGCAGTTAAGCAGATACGCAGAGAAGGCGTGTTAGTTTGGGAAGAAGTGACGAAAAGCTAAATCTTCCCTGCTCAGTAGATGTGAGCATGGTTTCTTCGCGTACTGCGGCATTTGTTTTAGTGTTTCAGGGTAGAGTACAGAGCTGGGGTAGAATTCCACTACTAACAGGAATGATATTAAATAGTTACAGTTAATATTACAGCTGTGTTCAAAAGGCTACATCGGGACTTGATCTGTCTTCAACTGCAGCATATACCTTGCTGAAGACTTTTTTTCTTTTAATAGGATGTATTTTTGAAAGGTAGCAATTGAGAAAGAGACTTAAAGGCCCCGATGGATAACCAACTAAATTCGAATTTCCCACGTGATGCAGCAGCCAATGAAGGAAATGTGATGTACATGTAAGCAGGGCAAGCTTAAGCAGGAGTATGAAAATTTTATTGCTAGGGTTTTAAAGCATTGGTGAGATCACGATTGGCCAACGGCATCCAGCTTGGGCCTCTGGCCTTCAGACAGGACTTCAGCGATTGGAAAGACTGCAGAAGAACTAAGCTGACTGGGAAAACCGCTACGTGATGAGAAGCTAGACAGGTTTAATCTTTTTAGATGGTTGATACATATCTTTTTTTAGCCTGCGGATGTCTCAGCTGAAGAGACGATTGCTCCCAGTAGCCAGCTGCTGTTTCTTAACCAATTTTAATAAAACTTGCGCACTGACAAAGATCTGCTGTTACAACTGATTTTACCTGTCCTGGGTCATTCTCACTGAAATGACTGAAAGGAGCATGTTTCAGAGTACTTAAGCAGGCAGTTAAGAAAGCAGTAGCCTCTGGCTAAGGGATGGTGATGAGCAGGATGGAAACAGGAGTCTTTTTGCTGGGCAGGAGACGGGTGGAAGAGCGCCTATTTCTGATTTCACTTTAGCCAAGAGAAGTGTAAAACTTGATGGCTGATACCAAAGGTGGCTGCAGTTAACCTACACAAAGGTATCTGGTGTCCCGTGGAGTACCCTGTGGCATCTGGGACACGTGCACAGAGCCATTGGTGAGACTCGGAGCCTGCAGGAGACTTCCCCTTTTCTGCTTTGGCAGTCAGGGGCCAGGCAGGCACTGAGAGGGCATCTACAAGTGCATTAGATACCGGTGTTTGGGTATCTGAATCCTACCAGAAGGGAGGAAGATTCTCGGTCAGAGAAGGCTCTCCAGGGAACTATACTGAGGCATAACAAGATTTAGTGGCTGGAAGCTGAGGCTAGGAAGGTTCAACACAGAAATGTACTCAGACCTGTCTTGGAGCAAGGTCATGAGCCACTGGTCTACTGAAGGGAGGGAAACCTCCCCTCTGGTCTTTCAGTGAGTTTGTTGCTGTGCTTCAGCCCAAGTACATTGTGTGATTTACAGACGGAATTGCTGAGTGACATGGAACAGCCCTTCTTGTGCAAGAGATCGGGCTGGGTTATAATGGCTTTCAAAATAGATGAACATGGCATGGGCATTTAAAAATAAGCCATCTGTTTTCTTACTTCTAGGTGTACCGTTCCCAAAGAATTTCATGTCAGTGGCAAAGACAATTTTAAAGCGTCTCTTCAGAGTTTATGCTCACATTTATCACCAGCACTTTGATCCAGTGATCCAGCTACAGGAAGAGGCACACCTTAACACTTCTTTCAAGCACTTTATATTTTTTGTTCAGGTAAGTGTGGCAGGAGCATTATGGTTACAATTATATTTTGGAAAAAGTAACGTATCAAAGTAATGCCCCTTCCGTTTCTTAACAGCTGGTGTGTTTGTAGGATAGTCAACACCTCCAGGATGCAAAAATAGTGTCTTACTCCTTTTTTATGTATATTTACTGCTAGAAGCTTTCAAGGAATAGAAAAGTTTTCAATGAAGTATTCGTTTGCTTCAAAATTGAATAACGAAAAGTGTTCCCTACCAAATAATTTAGCAGAACAGTAATTCCCAACAAAAGAAGGAGGGAGGAAGGCATCTCAAGCTAGACTGAAAAGACTCTGCTTGCTTCAAAGCTACATTTCCACCCCACCCCCCCCCTTACAAAAAAAGAGCATCATCTTAAGTTTCCTTCCTTTAAGTGGGGGGGAAAAAGCTTTAGGCAGTCGAACACTGTTATTCAGCTAATGGCAGACAGGCAGAAAATGCTGTAGTGGCTGAGCCTGGACTCTGAGAGCCTACAGCCAAATAACTTCTATCTGAATAAGACTTCTCACCTGAGCTGCACGTAGGAAACTCTGTATGTATGCCTTTCTCCTCATCCTTGTTACAGGAATTCAACCTTATTGATAGAAGAGAACTTGCACCACTTCAAGAACTGATTGAAAAACTCACCTCTAAGGACAGATAAAAGGAAGAGGATTTCTTCAAGTCACTTGTTTCTTTAAGCAAGCGTGTGGTATTTTTTTGTTCATTTGTTTTTTTTTTTTTTTAAAAAAAACAAAAACCAGTGCTGTTACTAATGACAGCCAAGATGTACTTTCTGTGCTTTTATTAGGGGAAATCTTTTATCTGTTAGTGACACATGGTAAATAGTTTTTTTTTTTTTTTTTTTTTTAATTGTTGGGATTCATTGTGGAATTTTAGCAGGTGCTGAGTGTTTATAAAGGAAACATGCTTGGTTGGGGGATTGACTCTGCTGGTGCATGGGTTCTTGTATTGTGTCAGTGGTAGCCCATTCTCATGAAGTCCCTAAAAGACTTGCTCACATTCTCTAAGTGCCTTGGCAGACTCATTTCTGAGGTGCAAAGCACATACAATACTGAACATTGCTGGAAACAGAAAATATGAACTAACACCCAGGACACTTACTGATACTTGTTTTAGAAAAAAATATATATATGCTTACACTAAAAAAAGCCATAACTTACTGAAATCAATGATCTCCAGCTTTTAATACAAATATTTGTCTTATTTTTTTAGAGATTAATATAGAGTTTTTCAAAACTAGATATTTCTTATAAAGAAAAGTGATGGTGAAGTTCTAGTCGCTAAAGCGAAACGGTGAAGGTGGTGTCAAAATCACGAAGAACCCATGCTTAGCAAGTAATTACATGTCTGTTGCCATTGGTTTTGGCTTCTTAGAGTTGCTTTTATTTTTTTAACAGGGAAGCATCAACTTGGGTCAGTCACTTCTGTTAAGTTTCCTAGCATTTGCCAAATGAACGGTTAGTTTGCACAAACACAGTTAGGGGGGAAAAAACTCAATATAAAATAAAAATGCACTGGGGTAATGCTAAGAAAAATCTGGCTTGAAAAATAACTAGCGAAGTGATGTTTGTAAGTTAGGAATAAAAAGCCCTGGGTCTGTGGAGGAGCTCTGGTGGCCAGTGTTTTCTGTGGTAGGAAACGTGCCTTGGAGGGAGTGTAATTTCATGGACCGCTTGGGATTTACGTTAGCATGATGGTGTTCTTCCCCATTTAAAATGGCAGCCCATCTGCAAGGAACTACAGCAGTTGGGAAAAGCAATAGGAACGTACCGGTGAATTTTTAGTGGTTTGTAATTTGGTAGGTGCATCTTCTGTTTCTGAAAAAAAACTAAGCAAGATGTGGCCTTCCCCCACCCGGGTTAGTGTCTGCCTCTCGAGGCTTGTGTTTCCTCAAACCAGAAATGACTCTCCCGCGAGAAGTTAACCTCTGGGGTGATCCACAGACGGTGACTTGGAAATTTCTGCTGCAACTGTATCAGTCAGGTTTCCCACTGCAGAAGCCCGTATGACTAGCGCTCTTGTTCGTTTATGGATCTTGTCAAAGCTGTTGTATTTTGGAGTCAAAGAAATCTGTATGAGGTTCTGCAGTCTGCTACCCCATGATATCACTAGTTGCCAAATACAGTCCAGTAGGTGGTTGATGTTGCCAGGCTTTGCTAGATTGCGACTCCGCAAAAACACCATTTTTAGACCAGAAAAACATGAAGACCTTAACGGACTGGTGTACGCTTGACTGACTCTGGAACCTCTAAAATCTACAGGTGAAGCCAAGGTCAGCATGCGACAGAGAAGTTAGGCTTACAATTTCGTGCGCCTTTGCTTGACGAAAAAGCTGAGTAAAGTGGAAAATACTGTGCAGCAGCCTGTAAAAGATGTAAGTGGCCATTAGTATAGCCAGGTAATAAACATATAAGCACAGTAATAAACACACATGCATTTGGGAGACTAGAATCACTACTTTTGAGGTAAAATGATGTCTTTCAGAAGCATTTGAAGGTTATTTTAAGAACTATGTTATCTTCAGTGGAGTTAAATTTCCTAGTCTGCGTAAACTGCTTCCTGGAGAAGCAATTTAATGTTTTGTTACCTCTTCTGTCTCTCCCGCTCATTCGTGATGTCTTTGCAGCTGCAGGATTGTTTTTAACCGAGTAGCATACCTGACATCTGATCTGGACGTGGCTACCTAAGCCTGGTTTGGGAGCAGTAGGATGGCAGTGCTAGCTTCGGGTGCAGGGTTGGAGGGCTCTCTTAGTTCAGGACTGAGTAACGCAGAAGACTACCGTCTCTGCAGAGTTACGGGAGTGGTCAGCGTCGACCTGACTACACAAAAGCAGCTTAACTCCCAAATTCGAACTGTGCTGTTTGAAACAGACTCCAGTCATGCAGGAAGCTGAATTTAAGAACGTGATCTTAGACACGCAGCCTTTTATGCATGCTTCTATCTGAGGAGTGTTTAATGACAGAAAATTTCCAGCTGCAGAGGCGTTTCCAGATGCAGTTTGATATGAAAAATCCTGTAAACTTTCCGATGAAAACCGCTTTGAGTTGAGTCAGTGGTGCTCAAGAGGCTGCATGCGCATGTTCACTGTGCTGATAACACTTACTGGAGAGGAACCTTTTAACCAGTGCTAGAGGTCATGTTACCACGTCGCAGCAAGACATGAGAGTGAGGATGGTAGAAGCGTGCTCCAAGGTGCTAAATAGGAGGTATCCTCCATTAGATTTAAAGCTGTCTCACTGGTTTGGTGTCATGTACCAGCAAGAAACTAAAAAGAAAAATACTTAGAAGTGAGGATTTGCTTGGAGTGATACCAGTGCAGTAGTTCTCATTTTTGGCATACTTCTGCTCTGGAAGGGTGTTTTCGGTTGGTTTGTTTTTTGGTTTTTTGTTTTTTGTTTTTTTTTTTTAAATAGCCAGTTCCAGAAATTCAGAGGCGTCTGCTGCAGTTCAGCCAATCAGAGTTAGAATGTATTATGTTAAAAAAAAAAAAAAAAGTTTTACGTGGATAGTGTATTTTTTGTATTTAGTATCTGGCAGTAGAAAACACTTTTACAGAATAGTTTCTAGGAATGTAATAAAAGCTTGGAGATCATGATTTGCCTGACAGCTGTATGAACACATTGTTTAATTATACAACACTTGAAAATAACAACATTAAAGATATGTATGCAGTGTTTGGGATTTAGTATCCCTATGCTGTTTATATTTGCAGCTTTTAATTGTTTTTTGCTTCAAAAAGGTGTGGGACCAGAAGTTGATGTGTGTTTACGCTCTTGAAGTAAGGGCACATTGAAATGCTAAAGAAAAGCTGCCCTGTTGTACAAATGGAATCTGGGTCGAGTGAATGTGTTTATAAAATAGTGCATTTGTTGGGGGGAAGGGGGAGGACACCCCCTCACCCCCCCCAAATAAAACCCGGAGAAACGAACGCTGAACAAACCCCGCGCTGCTCTAGGCCCACGTTACAGATGGATTCTGTTAGGTGTCACGGGCGCTTTGAGACAAAAACTTCCAGCTTTGTTGTCTTTGGGAGCGGAAGGTGTTGGTGGGGTTACACCAGGCTGGGCTGCCAGTGCTGGCTGAGGCCTTCCCGTGCGGTAGGGTCCTTAAATTCTATGGTTTGTGGTGTTTTTCAGCTGCCAGCCTGTTAGACCGTGTCAGTGATTTGGGTGGTAACTTCAGGAGGTCATCTACCTCGAGACGGGATGGGGCAAACTCTGCTAAGTTCATCAGGTTCAGCCACCGTTGCCAATGCTGACACTGTTGAGATGGTGTGGATACATTAAGTTTGCAGAAATAATTCTTCAAGTCAGGGATACAGGTTAATCATGCAAATAGAAAATAAAAATGCCACATTCTGCTGTTGCAGGTAGCTGAATGGTAGATGAAGGGAGAGAGCAGGTTTCAGGAGGCAGGTGGCCCGTCTGCAAGTATCAAGTTTCTTTTACTGCTTACTATGCAATGTAGAGCTTTGAACTTTTGCTTTTACTTTAAGATATAGAGGAGCACTGTCCTTATTCAGTATTTAGGAACTGAACACTCTCCCAGTCTCCCTGACACTCATGTAACAGGTAAGGATACCTATTTGCTGCTATGGACTTTACTTACCTTTCAGATTGTTCCTTTCCACCTCTTGCGCCTCCCCCGTCCCCCCCTTCCCCGAATCACCAGGCACAATTTTACTATAAACACATCCTTTTTGGATAGTTGTTCTTTTTCTTGCTACCCTTTCCCCCCTTCCTACCCGCCAGAGTGCTGTATTACTGTATATAAACCGCCCCTTTTAGTTGGACTATTTAAAAAGCTGCAGAACGAACGCAGGCTCCTTGCTTTTCTTTCACGAAAAGATTCCCCGTTACACTGAATTGTTTCCTTCACCGCTGATACCGGTTGTCTTTTTTTCCAAACTGCACTACTAAAACCACTAACACTTCTATGGATGCCTGTCGTCTTTTCCTGGGTATCTTCTCTTCTAAGATGAAACTACCATTGGTTATTTTAAGTATTAAACCTTTTTATTTTCCTGCTTTTCTTACAATTTCCTCTTGCCAGGTTAAGATTGCAGTCTAGGTAAATATCAAAGTACGTTTTCGTTTGAAGAACCAAGTCGCTAAATTGTTCATAGAGTATTGTATTTTTAGGGGAAATTAATTTTTATAGCCACTAAACTATACTCATTATTTTTGTACGTTTGCAACTTCTGACATTTTTCAGAGACATGTCATGGAGGGAACACTTATTTTCATGGCTGTTGTACTACTTCGGTATGCTGTGGTTGCGTTGCTTAGTACCTAGAGGCACATACCTTGATGTGCAGTGGGAGAGAGAAGAATGCAATAAAAGTGAATGAGGTTTCAATAAAAGGCCGTTTTTGAAGGCAAAAAAAAAAAAGAGATATTATGAAAGCAACCTTAACCTTTCCTCCTCCTTTGGAATCTTAAAATATATGGGAGAAAACGCGGTGTAAAATATAAAATGCAAGATGAGAACCCTTACTGTAAGCTATCTGTGCCAATATCGCTTCAGTTTGTAGTCACTGATATTTTAGTTTTAAACGAGAACAGCTTTTGATTAAAAAAGAAAAGTTGAATGTTTGAAAATCTGCAACTTGTTTATTTGAGAGTTGTAAATAATGTATACATATTGTTGTATGTGATGGGACAAAATATTTAAATTCTAGGTTTTTTTCAATAAGAAACTGAAGGCTGTTTATAAGAGAAAATAAATAGCTATGTTTGACCATGATTGTCTTCATTTCCTTCTTGAACTTGTTTCTAAATTATCTTCTACTTGTAGATAGACTTTCTTCTGTATATTGTACACATACGAACATTACACATACCAATTAGATTTTTGTAATCGCCTTGTCTGAACTTGTGAATATTTGTATTGCAGGCAGACACAATAGCAATAAAACAACCTGATACCCTTTTCATTTCCTTGTTTCATGACCTGAACGTACCCAGTACGGATGGAGCTCGGTGCGGGATGCCACATAACAAGTTTAGTATGGCATTACGTGCATCTCGGCGCCGATCCCGGGGTGGTTTTGAAAGCCGTGCTAGGAGGAGGGTGTCCTGCCGCAGCAGTAGCGCTCTGCTGTCTCAGGTCAACAGCTTCACACGAAGCACAGACTCCGTTTTTGGTTGCGTGCAGCAGCACCGGTGCCTTTTCTTTTTTCTTTCTTTCTTTCTTTCTCCTGAAAGCCTCCCGTGACCCTGACAGCTGCAGCGCTTCAGGTTTCCCGGCCCTCCCACGCGCCCGAGTTTCCCTCCGCCTGCCCTCCGCCTTCTCCGCTCACAGCCGTAGCTCCGGAGCACCCCGTCCCGTGGTAAGTCGTCTCTCGCGCGCACCTGGAAAGCGGTTTGTGCCACCGGGTTGAAAAGGCGGTTAAAAAAAAAACAAACCACCTTGCGTTCACTTCAGTCCCCACAAATGGCGGGTTTGGTGCGTGGTTGAGGGTCCGTGCAAAGAGCGTCTCGCCTCAGACGGCACGGGCAGCTCGCAGCCGTCGTACACGGTCTTGCACGAGAGCGCGTGTTGGCCACCACTGCCTCCCGGCCTCGCCCCCTTTCA